TTTCTACTTCTCCATTTATCCATCTGATTTTACGGTGGGCTTCTATTGACTGCCCCTTGTTGTTTTAAATAATATCACAATGGCGAACGCGGCAAGTATAAAAGCCTTGTTAATTTTGCGAGGTGTGCGATACGGCGCCAGGCAAAAGTATAAATCCAGCTTTAGTCTCTTTAAGTGTGATTAACCATTTTGAATTGCCAGGACAAAAGGCATGTCCTCATAAACCACATTAATGGAGTACAACTAAGTCACACCCATGTCAAAATACAACTTTACTCATTATTTACTTTTCCTTAAGTCACATGATTCTCTACAGATACAAAAGAAGATATTTTGAATAATGCTGAAAACCTGCAACTATTGACTTCAACAGTAGGATAAACAAATACTTTAGAAGTCAATATTACAGGTTTCCAACATTCTTCAAAATATCACAAGAAATAAACTCATAAAGGTTTGGAACAAGTGAAGAGAGAGTAAATAATGACAGAATTAAAATTTTTAGGTGAACTGTCCCTTTAAACGTGATTTTTAAGCATTTTGAATTATGAGGACAAAAACATGTCCTCATAAACCATAAAAACCAGTCATACCCGCCAAAATCCAAATTTCGATCCGCGTAAACCACTAAAACAACCGACAGACAGACAGACATACACACAAAGTTTGTGTATTATAAGGACACCTTATCTCGAACCAAGTTTTTTGGTGCATTAGAGGAACACACTCCTCCACTTGGTCAGCCAATCACGTTGCAATTTCATACACATGCATACATAATTAATGAGGGGGTGCAATATACACGCTTAGAAAATAAACTCACGATTTACTCCTTTCAAGTGGTCCTAAACCTTTACAAGCTTCTTTACTGACTCGGTTAAACAAAAGAGAGGATATTTTGAATATTGCTGAAAACCTACTGTATAACCAATGACTTTTGTAGCATTTGTTTTTCCTACTGTGCAAGTCAATGGTTACAGGATTTCAACATTCTTCAAAATATTTACTTTTGTGTTCAGTAGAAGAAAGAAACTCATGTTTGGCCGAACTTTCCCTTTAAGTGTGATTAAGCATTTTGAATTGCGAGGACAAAAAACATGTCCTTTTAAACCACATTACTAGAGTACAACTAAGTCACACCCATGTCACAAATTTCTGTCCCTGTAAACCACTAAATCCAGTGCAGACGCACACACAGTCCAACGTCTGTCAGTTGGCAAAGTGCACAATCCTCCACAACAAACTCCTCCATGACAGCACACAAAAGAATCTGAATTTTTTTCTTTCTGAAGGGCAGCAAGAGAATGAACAACAGCTTTCTCTCTCCAGCCAGACATGAAACAGCAGCGAGAGCGAGAGAACGAGTTCATTACTGGAGAAAACAGCACGAGACTCGATCTTCTGTGCATTCAAGCCCACAAAATGTCAAGCGGCGGAGGAGATGAGAAACAGCACAAAACCCAGAATTGATGTGTGTGGCTGATGAAGTGGGTGGCGGAGTCCCGAGGGCCACATTCCTCCGTCAGAGCATATCCAACGTGGAAATAAAGAGTCCGTCAGTAAAGCAGAGACGCGTCTGACCACTCCACTATGAGATTATTTACAACTGAACGCGTTTCACAGAGTCTCTTTAAAGCAGGCTTGTTGACGGTGAAATTAAAATGCAGTCATCATGCAATTACCTTAATATAGAGATATTAAACACATTCTCAACAGAGGATGGTGACAAAAACAGCACTTTAATTGAAGAGGTGTTCATATTCAGTCAGAAATTATTTTTGACATTTGCACATGTGGTCACGAATGCTTTTAAAAATGTTTGCTTCAGGGAACATAGAAGAAAAATAACAGAATTATAATGCTGTCTGTCTTCAGACCTCAGGTTTAAAATGATGAAACAGTAGATTACTAAACACATGTGCAGCATCAAATTGCGTCTGAAACCATATGTTAGTTTCTTCATCATCTGTGATCACTTTGATAGTGATAGCTATGTCACAATCTACATTTCTGCTGAATAAGCATGCTGAATAAGCATGCGGTATAAGATGATATGCTTGGATAAAAATATCACGGTTTCACGGTATTGTGATTACTGCTCTAATAAAATATATTATTTTTAGGTAAAAAACAAAACCTTTTTTCCCCTTTGCCACAGCCATATCACCCTGCAGCCCAAGACCGGTTACTCACTGAAGCTAAGCAGGGCTGAGCCTGGTCAGTACCTGGATGGGAGACCACTAGGGAACACTAGGTTGCTGTTGGAAGTGGTGTTAGTGTAGGGGGCGCTCAACCTGTGGTCTGCGTGAGTCCTATTGCCCCAGTAAAAGTGAAGGGGACACTATACTGTCAGTGGGCGCCGTCTTTCGGATGAGACATTAAACCGAGGTCCTGACTATTAAAAATCCCATGGCACTTCTCGTGAAAGAGCAGGGATGCAACCCCGGTGTCCCTCTATCGGCCCTTACGATCATGGCCTCTCAGTCATCCCCTTCCACCGAATTGGCTCTATCACTGTCTCTCCACTCCTCCAACAGCTGGTGTGTGGTGAGCGCACTGGCACCGCACCATCCAAGTGGATGCTGCACACTGGTGGTGGTGTGGAGAGACCCCCCCCTCATGATTGTAAAGCGCTTTGGGTGTATGACCATACACAATAAATGCGCTATATAAATACACATTACATTACATTATTAGATTTAGATTAAATTACAAATTATTAGATTTGTCATGCTGTCCAGGAGAGATCTCTGAACTGGGAGATACTTGAGCTCCCGCCTGGTCATGTAGCATGGAAAAAGGTGGAGTGGATGGGGTAGATGGGGGGGTTTCTTCAAAAACGAAGATCAGGAAGGTAAGATGACTTGGCTTATTTATTGGAGGCTAGAATTCATCTGATTGGTCTAGCAATGAAATCTGGTTGGACTAGCAATAATTATTGGTGTGATGCCAGCCGCGATCAATCATATCACGAGCTCTTCTCGAAATTAGTTCAGAAAACTTCATTATTGTCAAAAACACAGATTTCTTTATTATTTAAAAAGGCATTTTTGCATATCTTTTCTGCTGGAGACATTGTCTTAAAAAGCGGAAGAAAATAAATAAATGAAATCTACCACACACCTTAGGAACGGTATAGCAGAAAACTTTGGTGGTTTTTAAACCTTGACTTTTCCAAATCGCAGTATACCTTACGGTTATCGTCCCATGCCTACTGCTTGAATGTGACCTTCTTTTTTTATTAAAGGAAGTATATATGGCTGGAAATTGTATTTGTTTTGTCCTAAAGGGATTGTTCACCCCAAATTTAGAGCTGCCATCGTTTACTCATGTGCCATAAAATAAGGTACCACTTTTTTTTGTTAAAGAGAGTGTTCATAAGACACATTGTTACGTTTCACGTATGTTTTTTATGGTATTTTGTTGTTTGTTAATTGTTTTGCGCTCTTCTCTCTCTCTCTCTCTCTCTCTCTCTCTCTCTCTCTCTCTCTCGCTGTGGTCCTATCCTGTTTCAGGTGTGCTACCATTGGTCGAGTGAGCTGTCAATCACCTTCGTCACTCAATCGGCGCACCACTAAGGATTGGGTCCGCGCAGTACAAAACCCGTGCACTTGCGCTGTTCTGCAGGAGCGCTTGGCCGGCCAATCTCCTCACTTGTGTCGGCCAGACTGTTGACTTGTTTGTTCCGCTTGGTTCGTTTGCGA